AATTTCCATTTGTTCGGTCTGAAAGTCAGTTAGCTGATGTACTCACCAAGGCAGTTTCAAGAAAGGTGTTCTGTGGTATAATCAACAAGTTGGGCATGACAGATGTCTACGCTCCAACTTGAGGGGGAGTATTGGCATGAGCTGTATATAAGATTTAGATTAATTGATTCTAGATATGTTTAGATTCCTTTAGAATAGGATTGATTTATTTAGTTTCCTTCAGAATAGGTTTGTTTCCTTATTTACAGGATGTAACTTGTATCTATATATATTGTCTTACTATTGAGGAATAAAATATGCTGAAACCATTATTTCACACTAAGACAGTTGGTCTTGCCATCGGCGGCAATGAGTCCCTTGCAAAACTTCATGTTGCCCAAGTTACGGAGAGCGACGACATTCTTGTCAACTTTGATCAGCCAAAACAACAAGTCAGATTCAGGGGAGTTGTTTTCTTGTTTTTGTTTTTGCTTTTGTTTTCTTCTTTGTTCTGATCGACCACGAAGAAATCTAGTCAAAACGTTACTTGATGATGGCATATAGGAGTCGTGTGAATCAGCCAAGATCCAATTGTGGTTGCTGCACTTCCAGAATTTGCCCGAGTGATAAGACTTTATGCGAACACTTCCGTTGGAAGTTGTGATGACCTCATTTCCAACCGTGGGATCTCCAATGTCACTGCTAAAAGAGAAATGCAGATATAGGCGTCCCTCGAGCAAGCGCGTGCCAAGGTAGGTGTCGTTATTGCCTTTGAATGCCACGTGCTTAGGCATTATCAACAGTGATTCCCAATCAATGATGGTGTAGACATCGCGTAGATCTTGGTCAAGCATTGAAGATCCTATAAATAAGCCAAAATCATGTGGAGAGGCAGCCCTCCATAAGCATGCGTAGTAGCTGTAATGAATATGGCAAAATCGTATAGTTTGAGCTACACCATCTATGTAGAGAGGCTCAAACAATGTGCTTGCCCAATTGTATTTGTCTTCCATTGGTTCATCAGCACCGGCAACAATCCAATTGTGCTTTGGCGACCACCTTACCAAGTATTTGTTGTTGTAACAGCATCTTATATGCACAAGTCCTTTCCCATAACGAGTACTCTTTGCCATCTCCAATTCATATTTTGTGTACGGACTCACAATCTCCTCTCCAGAGAATTGGACAAACCCATGCATCTCCCCATCTTCTTCATGTACATAGCGCAAGTACTTGTCATTATAGTTTGATTTCAGCACTGCAAACCTTGGCAATGGTATTGTCTCTCTTGCAAATGTTTCATTTTTGGGCTGCAATAATGACAGTGTTTCCCAATCAATGATTGTGTAGACATCATGTTGTTCTTTGTCAGTATCTTTTGATGCTGCGAATAAGCATGTATCTAAATCGCCTCTTTGCCTATATAAGTATGCATAGTGGCCAAGTTGGATGTGACGAAGTCGAATTGTTTGAGCAACAGATCCAATTGTTGTTTGAGCAGCACCACTATCAACTACGCGAAGGGGCTCGAATAATGTACATGACCATTTGGATTGGTCTTCCTCTGGTTCGTCAGCCATGGCTTTAATCCACCACTGGCTTGGCGACTGCCTTACAAAGTATTTGTTGTTGAAACAACATTTTATATGCACAAGTGCCTTCCCATTAATACTAGTCTTTGCTATCTCCACTTCAAACTTTGTGTAGGTACTGGAAACCTCCTCTCCAGAGAATTGGAGATGCCCCTGCATGCCCTCATCTTCTTCATGTATGTAGCGCAAGTACTTGTCATTGAAGTTTGATTTGAGGACTGCAAACCTTGGCAATGCCATTGTCTCTCTTGTAAACACCTCGTCTTTCAGTGGCAATATTGACGGTGAATCCCAATCAATGATTGCGTAGACATCACATTGATCTTTGTCAGGCATCGGTGATCCTGCAAATAAGCATGAATCATGTGGGGGTGTTGTTGTCTTCCATAAGCATGTATAGTGGCCGAGCTGGATATGACGGAATCGAATTGTTTGAGCAGCACCATCATCTACGTAGAGGGGCTCGAATAAGGTACATGACCATTTGGATTGATCTTCCTCTGGTTTGTCAGCACTGGCAACAATCCACATGTCGTTTGCTGATCCCCTTACAAAGTATTTGTTGTTGTAGCAACATCTTATATGCACAAGTCTCTTCCCATTACTAGTCTTTGCCATCTCCAATTCATACTTTGCGTATGGACTAGAAACCTCCTCTTGGGAGAATTGAAGAAACCCATACACCGGTCCACTTTCATGTATGTATTGCAAGTACTTGTTGTTGTAGTTTGATTTGAGCACCGCAAACTTTGGCAATGCCATTCTCTCTCTTGTAAATGCTTCAGCAGGCGTGGATGGTGACAGTGATTCTCAATCAATGAAGGTGTAAATATCCCGCCATTCTTGTTCAAAATCTGTTAAATATGCATATATACATAAGTCCTACGGGCGTGGTACCTTCCATAAGCATGCATAGTGGCCCCTCTGGACATGGCAAAGTCGAATTGTTTGACCGGCATTTTCAATTGTTGGATGAATAGCACCATCTACGTAGAGGACCTCGAATAAGGTACAAGACCATTTGGATTGGTCTTCCTCTGGTTCGTCAGCCCCAGCAGCAATCCACCAGTCGTCTGGCGTCCTAAATACAAAATATTTGTTGTTGAAACAACATCTTATATGCACAAGTTGCTTTCCATTGCTACTAGTCTTTGCCATCTCCACTTCAAACTTTGCGTAGGGACTGGAAGCCTCATTTCCGGAGAATCGGAGAAGCCCATGTTCCGGCCCATCTTCACTTGTGTAGCACAAGTACTTGTCGTTGAAGGTTGCTTTGAGCACCACAAACCTTGGCAATGCCATTTTCTCGTCTCGCTCTTTAGATGGAAGTCGTTGAAGTTTGAAGAATTTGTGAACTTTTCTGCAACATCCACAAAACATTTTCATAAAAGAAAACTCAAAAATGTTTAACGACATCAATTGGTGAAGTAAAAACTCTTCATTTTTATGGTAAAATATGAAAGTTTAAATTCTATCCGACTTACCCGGACAAGCTAATGTTTATGATCAACTACATAAAGAATGCCACGCCAGCCATAAGTAATGCAGTCTGCGGAACAAGCGAAATGGAAGAAGTGAAGCTCTGTCAGTGTGGTTGGTTATTTTTAATCACAATAGTCAAACTTCTTGAGTCCACCTTAACTACACTATGCTAGTAACTTATATAAAGATGTTCGCTATAGGTGTTTTGGAGTGGCTGTTTTAGTAGTTTTTTTTTTTGTTTTTAATTTTTAGTGAATTTTTTATAAAAAAAAAATTACAAAATCTTTTATATTTTTGGATTTTACTCGACTTGACCAACCACAAAAGTTAAAAAATATAAAAATTTTGAAAAAAAAAATCAGAAAAGACACAAAAAAAAAGTTGGCTTTTTAACTTTTTTGTTATTTTTTTTTTTTAGTGAACTATTTTAGGAAATTTTCAATTTTTTTAACATTTTAGATTCGTATACGCTAGGTGAACTCGAAAAGTAAAAACATTTAACATAATTTTGAAAAAAAATCACTAAACACAAAAAAATTCAGAAAAAAATATATAAAATTTTTAGTAGAAACCAAACACCAGTTGCCTTATGTAGAAATCACTTTCCTTTTTTTTATTTTTTAATTTAATTACGCCTATGCAATGATACAATAAAACTCACTCATTTTATAATATTTTATACACTTTTACATGGATGTTCCCTTGTGTAGATTTTTTTTTTTTTTTTCTGTTTAATATTATGCCATAGATACAATAAAACTCACCATTTTTTAATATTTTAAACATGTCATTAATAAATGAAGGGTATGTCTTTTCTTTTTTTTTTCTTTTTTTTTGCCCATTCGTTAGAATCAATTTTAACTTAGATTTTAGGGAAAAAGAGATCACCTCCAACGCCCTACATAGAACTTGACATCACAACCTGCACTATGAAAATTAGAGAGTATATCACTGGGGCAGAAAGTTAAGAGGTAAAGTAATGTCTACTCAAATATAGGTGTTTAGTGAATTTCTTTCAAAATGTTCGCTCCTTTTTTGTTTAAACCCACCAGAAAATGACAAGAATGACAATTCAATTCTTCTTTTATTTTATTGAACCAAACACTATCAAAGTGTTCTTATTTTTTTATAATACCCACATTATGTGTTTACATGCAGGAACACAGAAAAGGTTTGAAAAAAAAAATATATATTTGGCCACCAATCTATAGAATCATCGGATTATATGTATGCTGAACTGTAGAAGTGAGGAGGTGTTGCATCGGAGGTTGCTGCCGGAGAAGATGAACAGTTTACTGCCTTTTGAGTGCCTTTTATTTATTTCTTTATTTTTATTTTACTTTCATGGCAAAAGTCTTGACTGACTAGAGGTTAATAGCTAGACTAGTGTGGTTAAAGTGGGCCCGAAGTTAAGGAGTAAAAATATTTAAATCTCGTTTGGCAAGTGATTTTTTTAGTAAAAAAATCAAATAGTTAATAAAAAAAAAAAAGCTAACAACTTATACGGAAAAGTCAAAGGCTGTGTTTAGTTGTGTTCTCAAATCATGATTCTACACATTGATTCAAGTATGATGTTTGGTTAGAGTTTTGAAATTATGTTTCCAAAACTCTGCAGAGAGCTCTGTCTTAGCGGTGCTTTTCAGAATTTTTTTTTTTGAAAATTTTGCCTAACTGGTAGTCCAGCCGGTTGGCCGGAATAGTGAATTTTTTATTTTTTATTTTTTTTCAATTGATATGTTAATTTTTATATAATCGAAAAAAATATTTTCTGTAATTTTTAAAAAAAATTTATGTGCTTTAAAATAATTTTGAGTTGGTATCGGTTTAGTTAGTGAGTTGTAAAATTTTTGTATCAAATATCAAAATGTCAGCATCAACAATTTCCCACTCAAATGCAAAACTCTTTTCAAACTATTTTCAAAATCTCTTTTACCAAACAAATTTTTCTGCACTCAAAATATAATTTCAAACCCACAAATTCAAAATAGCAAATTCATACTCTTCAAATCTAAATACAAAACTCTACCAAGGCAAAAACCAAAGATTTCATTTCTCTCCTACTTTTTGCACATCATTTATAAAACAGTCAAAAAATTATGCCCAAATATACTAGTCTTTTCTACATCACATTTCTTAGCAAAACAAATTTAAAAAGTTAGCTTCAAAAAAAGCCTGTTTTCCAAAACAAAGGCCTTAGAATGCATACAACAAAACACTTTCAATAATTGAGGATGAATTAAATAAAGACAAAGACTTTTCTTCAATTCCACTTAGGTCATGTTTGTTTACAATGGACTGATAAGGGTTTGTAATTCATTAAACTGTTAATTCTTAAGGTACAGAAAATTTCTAGATTATTGGTTGGAAATGATGTGTATATCTGCATATTTTATTTTTCTCATAAGACTTAGATTATCTAAAAAGAACTATATAATTTAATCCGAATGTTTTATTTTAGCAATAGTTAATAAGAGAAAAAAGGCTCAATTAACTCCTCACCTTTTTTAATTGTTACTCAAGTAAAACAACAACATTAACACTTTGTATAAATTTGGATCTTTTATGTATAGACTGATTAGTGGACCACAAAAATAGACAAAGTGACATCAAAAGTAATAGTCCCTGGGTCAAGAAAAAACAGATATTATTGGACAAATCCAAATTTCCAAGTATTAAAATTAAATGCAAGAGATCAGCTGCGTAAAAACTGTTTTTTCCAATATGAGAGTACATGATAAGGTTTATTTTTTTTTTTTTTTTAAAAGAATTTATTGACTCTACATTAGTTTAAGATTTGAATTGTTTTGGTTTGTGTTTTTTAGAATTAGTTTCAGAAATTTTTTTTTTTTAATTTGAAACTATTTGACAAAATCAAACAAAAAAATATATTTTTTTAAATTTTCTAAAATTATTTTCTTCCTAAAAAAAAAGAAGGAATGAAAGAGATGTTAAATACTTGGGTGATAAACCCAGCGGCGGAAACGCGAAACATAGATATGGTTTTAATCGGCACAAACCACTAATTAGAAAATAAACGAAAGAAAAGAAACCCATAAATGCTAAGCACTAAACAGAATGGAAGAAAAAATCTTGAAATTTTGTGGAATTTCAAATAGGGATGACAATTTGAAACCGCCCGGACGGGGACCCGATCCCGACCCGATTTGAGTGGGTTTTCTTCCGAAACACTACTCCCGACGGGACGGGGATGGTATATCAAAAACCAATCCCCGATTAAATTTCGGGCCGGGAACGGTGGATAAGTGCCCATCCCCGGCCCCGGCCCGGCCGCCCGCCCTGCTTGTCCCCGAATTGATCTATATATAATCTATTAATTTTTTATTCATTTATTTGTTTCCGTCTCTCATTCCGTCTCTCATTTAACCGCTCTCTCCATTTCTATTTTCTTGTTTCATTTCATTAATGCTGCTTCTCTCTCTCTTCCTCTACTCCCCTCTCTCTCTCTTCCTCTCCGTCTGAGACGCTACATCTGACTACGAGACAGTCCGTCCTCCGACGATGCCAACCATCCAACACGACGACGAGAGAGCGCCATCTGACGACGAG